GGTTCTTTTTTTTTTAGCTATGTTTTTATGGATTGTTGTGAGCCGCCTAGATTCATTATATGAGATAGGCGGCCATATAAGTCCTGTAAGTAAATAAATACATAAATATCAGTGCTTCATCTGCTGCATTGGCTGTTGTACTGCTTCCAGATCCAATTCAAGTTTTTGAAGCTGATCCTTAAACCTCTGGACAGTTTGGGAAGAAAATTTTTCATGGGAATACCTTCTCCATTATATATGTTCTCAGGCTGTTCAGTCATTGTTCGAGGGTCTCTTCTGTGTTATTCTGATAGGTGAAATGAGGCAGACAGTCTTCCCTGTTGTAGAGTTGTGGTTATGGAAGCTGTTCCCAGGGAGGTATGTCTGGTTCTTACGCTTTGCTGCCAAGCAAAACCTTCCTTTTTTTAAAACCAGAATTTCTATAGTTTTGTTTAGTTTGATTTTTTATTACCTGTATTACCCTGCAATGGTGCATTTTATATTTTATAGCTATTCTGCACAACTGATTGCATTGCATTGCATTCTACTGTTGCTTTTGTTTGTTTTGCTTTTCAGTGTTAAAAAAAAACTTTTAATGATTTCGGTCCTGTTATAATGTAATCTGCCTAGATAAATTGGATTGCCTGTTACATATATTGAAAGTGATCATTGGCTAGATTGGAATAATTATAGAATAATATAATCATATTACATTAAATAATTAAGAAAGAACTATGATAAGGGGGACATTCTCTTGAACACCTGGGCCCTTTTCCATTGTTTATATTATGTATGTTGCCTTTTATCTTTTTGAAAGGAATGGCATAGAGAAGTCATAGAAACAAAATAATAAGAATCCTCCAAGTTTATAGTTCATGCCAATTTGTAGTAGTGAGTTTATTATACAGCAGCTGTTTGTTTAGTTGAATCAATAATTTGAACATATAATCTGGATTTGTATGTTTTGGTTTAGTTATGATTATGGCTTTAGTTTTTCTGAAGATAGTTTTAGCTGGGAAGATGGGTTAATATAAAAGTCAGAATTTTGGATCATGTTTATTTTGATTTCCTGGCATTAAGATGGCAACAGAGGTGTACTTAATTAGCAGGCAGTGCTGTATAAAAATTGTAATGTGAGTTAGTTCATACATTGTAATTATTTTTTTTTATAATTTAAGACATGAGGCTAAGATCCAATCAAATAACACCTTGAAGTACTTTTGATTTTTATTAAAGATACTTAAAAATAATCATTTACATTTTGAAATTAATAGTCTTCAATTGGACAATAGTACTTTTCGTTGGCAGAGTATTGGCCTAAATTTACAAATCTGTAATCGTAATGCACCACTTTTCAAAAGGAATCCTAAAACTGGTAGTACTTCTATGTGAATATTTTGGAACAGAAAATATATTTCTTATTTCTCATATCTGCAGCTATTCTTAGAGAAGACTACAGTTTGTAACCCTAGGTAATTTGTAATCCTAGAGGTTTCTAGCCAAACTTGTTACTTCTAGATTCATTTGTTCCAAGTCAGTATAATATTATATAGTATATTATATAGTATTATTTTATTATTTATTATTTGTATTTATTATTTATTTTTGATGGAGTATAAGATAGATATTGCTATTATACCTATGCCTGAATGTTTAACTTTCTCTTTAAGGAGACCTTTATGATCGAGCTCGTCGCCTCCAGTCTAAAATGATGACAAATTTGGCAATGGCCAAGGACCGTTTGCAGCTGTTAGGTACTACTTAATGTTGTTACTTTAGAAAATTGTGGAAATGATAGTATATATTTAAGAACCTATTTATTAATGATGGAAAGAAAAATGATTTGAAACTCCTGATTTTTAAAAACTTTTGAAACATAAGTTTCAGCAATAGATTTCAGTTGTATAGAATTGGTGTACTAATTAGAGATGCGAGTATACTGTTAAAGTTTGGTTTCCTGATATTATAAAAGGGAAGATGAAAAACTAATGGGATTTTTTTTGTGAAAAAATATTTAAAAATATTTAAAAATGCAGAGTGAATATAACTTGCTCTTTGAAATGGCTAAGACAATTGGTGCAAAATTAGCATTAATGGAATAATAGTGTAAAGTGCATCTTAGAAGGAAAATTCATAGAAAAAAATGTTGCCTGGAATTTAAGTTTTTACTGCAGATACTTTGATGAAAAGTAGTAAATTACTGAACAAAATCATCTTGAAGTCAGTTCAAGAGTATAAACCTTTTAAAAATAACTAATCAGTGATGCCTCTTTCATCACTAATAGCAGTCTTATTAGTATTAAAAAGCACAGATTATCATAAATTGAAATCCTTTAAATCAAAGCATATATTGAATGAAGCAAAATAAAACTAGATAACAGCATATATGTCTGGAGGGGGCAAGGAATGAATCATGTCATGATTTCATGAAGCAAGCTCTGCAGTTTACCTACTTGGATCAAATGTTAGGACGCAAGTAAAGAAGGGTGGGGTTTGTATCATCACATCACCATATATGTGTCATTTTTCAGTCATCATAGTTATCTATGGATATCTAGGGACAGCAGTAGGTTAGCTAATTTATCTGATGGCTTTCTTGCAAATGTTGTTAAAATCGTTTAAAATGATAGCATTTCTCCTTTATCTGTGTTACATGGTTTATGTAGCCTAGGGCTGTAGCTGGCATAGCACTGTATGGCCTTGCTTATTTTCTAGATGGAGCAAGGACATAGAACCCCTGCTAAGAAAAGATGAAGTTCCCAATCAGATGGCTTATGATTTTGTAAATCCCATTTATTATCTCTTAAGTGACCTTGATTGTTCTAGGGAGCCAGTGTTAACCAAGAAATAGTATTTTTATTAAAAATACAGTAGGTACATTCCTTAGTTTTCCTAGGTTTTTGTTCTTTCCCCATGTGTTTTTCAGGTTTATCCAATCATTTTTTTAGTATGTTACTTTTATTTTGTAATTAGTCAGGTAGATCTAGTTGCCATTTTGTATTAGGTGACCTCCATAGCCACCATTTTGTTGCAGGACCCAACAGTGTCTCAAATTTCAAATGTACCTCACAGATTAAAAAGATTGGCAATCCTTGGAGCCTAGAGCTCCTGTCTGAGTAGTCTGTCAAGTTACCCTTTGAAGAATGCCATTGCAGCGTACCTTTCTAATGTCTCTACAACATGTTTGTCAAAAGGCTACAAGAAATACTTCCACTGGAATATTTTAAAGTGAGTAAATCCCTCTCAAAGACAATCAAAATCAGCAACAGAACATTTTAAGTTTGGAGGAATGTAACTTTTTTTTTTTTTGCTTAAAATTGCATCTCTAAATGCATTGACTCTGAGTAGAAAAATTGTGAGATAGGAAAACAGTAAGTAGCCTTTTTTCCCCCACCATTTTTTTCAGTCAGTTATGTAGCTGTGCCTTATCTAATTTATGAATATGTCATTTATAAAAATACATGTTTGATAGCCATTGACAAATGCCAGCTTTTTAACAAGAATAAAGTTATGCAGCTGCAGCATATATTGGATTAACATAACTTGCTGTTAAATATATGAAGTGTCAAATGTAAACAATCCCGTGATATGGAACTGTACCTTTTGCTAATTTCTTACCCTTTCTTGTACCTCCACTTTGATAATAGTGAGGTTTTTTCCCACAGTGCTTATAGAATATAACTTCAGTGTTTTCCTGAGAGGTACTTAATTACTGTTGCTTTTTTCTGGAGGCTTAGAGCAATCTAGAGTCCTGGCCATGGCAAAGGATAGAGTTTGAGCTACTTTTTTAAGGTGCTATAGGACATTTTGCTTTATTTGGTTTTGCGGTTATAGATTTAACAAGACTACCTCATATAATATGTTTGTAATAAGGTCAATAGGCTGGAAAATGTACCCCAACACCTTTACATTAATGAGTCTCTACTTAGCAGAAGTTTTCATTTATTTTAGTAGGACTTATCCTCAGATTAAGTATGCATATGTTTGTAGCCAAAAAATCAGGGCTATAAGCCTGAAAGACATTATAGATAATATACTGGCAGAATTTTTTTGGAATGTTGAGAGTTTATATTCTAATTTGTATTAAAATAATATATAATTTTTATTGTAACTTTTATTTTAAAAATTGAATAATCTATTATAAGCTATTTTCATATTTTAATACCGTACATTGGCACGAGCCAGTATATAGATGAAGGCCTTTAACATTGAGCATGATATATAAGCATGCCTTGTTTAATTCCTCATCCTTGAAATTTGGTGCAAAAATATTTAGCTTTTGGATGTTTACTGACAAGGTTTTATAGTAATTGCTGAAATATTACATAGTTTATTAAATGACTGAAATGCTGGAGTTACCATCCTCTGTGTCTCAAAATATGAAATATGGTTTGCTTTTGCTACACATTCTGATGCTGTTGCTGATCATTTTTATTGTTATAACCCAATTTTAAAGAGATGGCTGAGATTGCATTCTCCAGCAATGCAAGCCTTAGTTATTGGATATTAATAAGAGGAATTTTTAAAGAGAACATTTGAAACTCTGTTTTGACAACTGAGAGCTCTTGAGAGTGAACATTTTATTTAAAACACTTTTCTCTAATGCTCCATTCAAAATTTTCACGATAGTATACAACAATAAAACACAATAAAAAGCATAAGAGCTAAGAATCATAGCCTTTGATAGGTTGATAGTTTTGACACTACCAAGGTCTTTGGTAGTGTCGAAAAACCACTAGAGTAAGTACCAACATCCCCTGTAAGAACTCTCAGGAGAAAGTTTCACAACTAAGGTAAAGTACTACAACTAAAAAAGTCTCTCCCATATAGCCTCTCATCTTTGTTCTGATGACAAAATAACTTGGATGAATATCTTAATGAGCTTCAGAATTATTTGGCAATTTGGCTTTTTTTTTCCTCATAAGAAATAAGGTAGAAGAAACAGTGAGAAAACTCCAGTGGTAAACATAGGAAACAATGTCATCTGAAACCCTGGTCCATTCTGTGAATGAGGAAGGGGAATGGTACAATAAAGGTTTAATCTAGAAGTCCCCTTTAAGTATGTGCAGGTTGTTGAGTCTCATTTTTTAAGACAGTGAGAATGATGAAAAGTTGGAAAAGAGCCACTGAAGCTATCAACCCCATATAGATCTTATTATAGCCATGTTTGGATGCAATCAAAATGTGTAGTATTGGTACCAAATAAGATTGACTCAAGAAGGGCTAAAGGGCTACAGCAGTAGCTATAATTGTGTAAACACATTCCTTGTCACCTGTGAATTTGAAGACAAGTACTCCTAGGCTATCGGCCTGGTTTTAGAGAGTGCATTAGCATCCAAAACAGGTTGAACATCAGTCCCACAGTTTAGTTCTGTTTATAATAGCACTTCTTTCTTATTAGATTTAATTTCAGTTTATTCAGCCCATGATCAAACTCAAGTAATGTTCCAGAATTCAGTTGCTTTCTGGGATGATAAGAAGCACTGAGCAATACTTACGGTATCTCACGCTGTAGCTCTTCTAGTGGTTTCAGGTAGATATTGAATAGTATAATGGACAAGGTGGAACCATGTGGGACACTATTGTTAATGATTTAGTTGTTGAAGATAGCAATCCAGCACCACCTTTTGGACTAGGCCTGAAAGGAGGGACTGGAACCATTGCAAACAGTGTTGCAAGTCCCACATCAACCAGATGATGTAGAAGAATACCAAGCTAGATGCTATTGAAAGCCAGTGAGAGATCCAAGAGACCTAGCAAAGCTGTACCATCCATCCAGTTTATAGTGTAGGTCATCATCAAAGTAGTTTCAGTGCCATATTCTTGTTGAAAGCCAATTGACAGAGATCCAAATCCAGATGTATCTGAATTGGGAAGTCACAACCTTGTCAATCACTTTTCCAAAAACTGAATATTTGAGATTATCCAATATTTGCACAAATCTCCTCAGGTAAAAGAGTGTTTTCAATAGAGGTCTTATAATTACTTCCTTTAAGCTGGGAGACAATATCTGTCACTTACAAAGAGGGACTGATAATTGTCCTTAACCTGAGGCAAATTGAGTAGGTAGGTGTTACTCTTCATATTGCCATACACCATTTGCATCCTTGTGATATACAAGCCAAAAAGTAGGACAAGCAATTGTGGGGGTTATATCCCTGAGACTTGCCCCAACCTTGATGTTCAGTTCAAGTGGGTTTTCTCAGTTTTAACTAGAGAGAATACTATGTTCTGGCTCCCTCCTTCAACTTCTTGGTAAAAGAGATACCTCACACTGAGAAAAGCAGTGTTTTTCTGTTCTGTGTAAACATAATGAGGTAGAAGAGTAAATATTTTTGCTGCCATGATGCTGAACTTCAGATTGTCCTTCAGAAAGGACTGATCTATCCATGGCCCAAATTCCTTCATTTACTCTTTAGCTGGTATTCTGTCCTCTTCATTGACCTCTACTAGCTCTTTAATAAACCAGTATGGTTTTGTATAGGGAAGAAAGCACTTAGGAATGAAAGCGTCAGCTTGAAAATCTCTGTATGGTTTTGCCAGCGATATTCTTATCCATAGTATATAATTGGCAGTATGCCCAGTCACCATTTCCACTCCACCATGTTATCAGTAATACTTGTGGGAGATAGTCTTTCAGATATCAAGATTCTACCGTGTAAGCAAACATCAATGCTGTGAATTATGTTTGGAAATGAACACAGAGGCAGTGAAACTTTTTCATTGCTGGTTAGATATATTTTTCATGCATAGAAAAATTATTTCTTGTTTATTCAAGACTATTTTATATTGTATTTTTAACTCATTTTAGCTTTTCTGTAAACTACCCAGAGTCGTTTTTTAATGAGATGGGTGGTGACAAATTTGATTGATAAATAAATAAATAAATAAATAGTCAGTAGCCCTAAACTAGTGTTGACCCTGGAGATGAAATAAAGGAAGCGTAAGGAGTTAATTTTCATACAATCTTTAGAAATGATTTAGCAGTCTTAATGAATTATATCCTAGATCAGCCTTTCTCAACCTTTTTACCCTGGAGGAACCTTTGAAGTAATTTTCAGGTCTCAGTGAAACCCTGCATAAAAATTACACCGCTATTTTTCGCAAAAAATATGAAAACTTCACAATACAATTCATTTGTAACCTATGCAACCCATATTTTGCAACATTTACAACTGCAAAGTGGTGGGCTGGCAGCTGAGTTGCGGTGCATAAAAATTCCTGCCGCTATGAGCGCTAGCATTGTGTGATGCACAAAGTTAAAAAAAAAGATTTTTTTTTTCCAGTCATGATGTCTCACAGAACCTCAGTTGACAAAAGTTGCAGTTGAGAAAGGTTGACTTAGATAATATGGAATAAATGTTCTATACACATGTCTTTGCAATGTGATGAAATGACCAGCTGAGGGTCATCTTTTTGGCTAAGGACTGTTGGGTGACACATACAAGAAAGGAGCATAGAGAAGAGTTATTAGATAGGTATGACAGTCTTCAGTTTTTTAAAATTTTGTCCATCTTATTTAAGATTTTAGGAAGGGCTGGGTAAGAATCTTTTTTTTTTTTAAAACATATTAAAAATTGAATTTGTATTTTGTGTGATGCCTCTTTTAATTAAAGATACATTGCAGTACCCTTTTGTATGAAATACATGATAGTATCAAAAAGGAATCTGAACTGTGCTGAGATGGTGACAAAGCAGAAATTATGGAATACCGGTTTTTTTCTGAGCTAAATGTGTATTGAAAACCTATTGATTTTTTTTAAATGGCTGGTTTTATTTTTGAAGTTCAAATAAGAGATTGGTATTGATCTGTTTTCTAAAAAAAAAAAAAGGGGGACTATGATTGTACAAATACAGGTAGTCCTCAACTTATGACCATTCGTTTAATGACCACTTGAAGTTATGATGGCACTGAAAAAATTACTTATGACCGGTCCTTGCACTTATGACCATCATAGCATCCCTGCAGTCACGTGGTCAAAAGTCCAGGTGCTTGGAAACCAGCATGTATTTATGATGGTTCCAGCGTTCCTGAAGTCACATGATCACAATTTGTGACCTTCCCAGCCAGCTTCCGACAAGCAAGGTCAATGGGGAAAGCTGGATTCACTTAACGACTGTGTGATTGGTTAACAATAGTGGCAAAAAAGTCATAAAATTGGGCATGACTCACTTAATGACCGCATTGCTTAGTGATGGAAGTTCCGGTCCCAATTGTGGTCATAAGTTGAGGACTACCTGTAGGTTATGTGTGAAAGATTGTTGTGAACTGGTGACCAGTCTAATTCAGGATGATATCTAATAAGTTGTTTGTTCAAGAAGGTAATAACTGATTCTAAAACTAATCTAAGAAATTAGTTGTAGAATTTTTTAATGATCATTTGCGAGCCTTCATCAGTCTAATTCATTTCTGCTAATTATAATGCAGTGCTAAATTGTATTGATAGTAAACTAGTAATTATATTTAATTATGTAACAATAAATACTCAATAATTGGAGGATGTTCACTTGATCAGAAAGGAGAGCTCTTGCTCTCTTATTTATAGAATTGTGTAGCAGCTTGAAATAAGCTGTAGATTACAAATGTATCATAGAATTAGCTGCTTAATATGGAATGCTAATCATAAACTAATACTTGTTAACAAAACTTAGTATGAAATCTGGTTGCAAATTGAACCGACAGGTTATAGACTGTCTTAGATTTATACCATAGATAGAAATCATCATAATTCTTTGCACATTCATTTTAAAGTACCCTACTAGTCTTTTTCTTTGTTATTTCTGAATAATGCAGTTACTGACTGCGGTTCACAGCTTTTACATAAATTGTACTTTATTCATTAGATGTGACTTCATAGCATTGTAAACATTAGACATAAGCTTTGTAACTTTAATCCATATCAAGCCAACTACTGGCAAAGTCATTTTGGTGTTACTAGTGTACGTAACTTTCATTGGTTCATTTTTTGTCTTTTATTTGTCCTTTTTCCTCCTCTGTTCTGTTGCATAGAGAAGATGCAGGCAGTTAAGCAAATTCCCAAGCCGCAAATGGAAGTCTGTAGTGACAGTACTAACCTGGTATGCCGCAATGGACATCTCCAGTCAGGTGGGTTTGGTTTTCCCAGCACCTAATTAATTAGGGGGATGTCTCTCAGTATCTACTCTATCATGAACAAAATATGCAGCACTAGATACCCTGCTCCTAATATATTTTTTAAATGTTTTCTCTTGAAAGGTTTCTTATTAATCTATATTGAATTAATGTTGTTTTCACCAAACTGCTTTCCTTATATTGTAAAGTTTCTTATGTCTTAAAAGGCAAGGCAATAAAATTTATAATATTTTAAAATAAAGTTTGGAATTTGGGAAAAAGCCTATTTAGAGCCCTTATAAAATGCAGTACTAGAAAAAATGAGCTGTGAGAGTTCATTTAAAAACTATGAAAATCTAGATTGGATTATGTTGATTGCTATTTTCTATGAAAGCAAAAGTAGAGAATAAGTTTTTTGCTTATACCTCCTATTGAAAGATATTGCTTCCTGGCTTTCTTTGTCAGTGTGTATGCATAAGATTTAAAAACCATGAGAAAATCTGCTTAAAGTTCATTTATATGAGAAGATTATTGATGCTCAGAATTCTTAAAGTATGTACTGAAATGAGAGGAAAATTATAGGTGGCATGTTGTGAATGTTTAGTGATCTGCTTTAGCTAAGATGCTTTGGAAACTTCTTTGCTATGAATTTTTATGAAGTTTGTAGCTTGTAACTTCAGTCATTTTTATTCTTCATAAGGTATGCTTCTGAAATAACTCCAAATACTATCAAATGTACAAATAATTTTCTCACTGATATTTTTGCTGTATAAAGGGTTTGATTTTTTTTCTTGTTCTTGAAGAATTCAGTCTATTTTTTAAAAAAAATACATGTAATGTTTAGAGTTGGACCCTTTATGACTTTTTTTTGCACTTATTATTTCTGTCTAAAATACTCAACTGAGGACAAGATGCGCTTGCTAGCTGATTTAGTGTGATGTGGTGCTTTGCTTGAAACAAGTAGTGCTGGTATATGAATCTACAGTTGGCATTTTTCTTCATTCTGGTAACTAGAATTTGTCGAAGTACAGTATCTGTACATGGCTTTGTTGACAGTTATATTTGTAGGACAACAGTGTGACTTCATCCATTGTGATGTACTGACACCAATTCTAATCCTGTATATGAAGCAGCATAATGGGAATCAGCACTTCACTGTAGAAGAAAAGCCTGATTACTGCTTGCATTTGCAGCTACTTTTCTTGGCATTATACAACTCAAATAATGATATAGACTAGGTTGTATGGAAAGCAGTTTCTGTTCTTATAAATTTCACATCCGAAAGAAATTTCAGTAGAAAATAACAAGGTTTTGTGACTTTTCCTATTCAGTTCTTCCTTTTAACTTTCTTTCAGATAACCAACTATCCAATAGTTAGATGTTTTTGTGGATTTATCAAAGTAAAATACTTAGCATACCTAACTAAACAAAAACCAGATTGCAATTCTGATCATCATATTGTCACTTTCTATGCCACTTTGAAAAACATAATATGCTTATCACATCTTGAATTGGGAATTTACATGAAGTCTAGCATTGGCTTGGTGTGGAGTGTTATTGCAAGTAGTTATTTGCTTGATAAATCAGAATATAGATCTGAATAAATCAGATCTGATCTGAATCTATAGATCTGGTAATAATTATTTTAAATATTCTAGAAACTATATTTATTTGTTACCCCAAGCAGTAAAGTAAAAAAAGAAGAGGACTGAATAATAGAAAACAATGGTAAAATGGCTTTTTTGCAAAATCTACAGGAAATTTGAAAAAGAAATTTGCCAGAGAAGTATTTATTTAAAATAGAACCTTACAACAGAAAGCAAAAGTACATCTTGAGGCTTCCTATTTCTATTACATTTTTCAGTGAGCATGTACATAGAGTACATGTACATTTTATATATGCTAAAAGTTTCTCATACGTTTATATGAATAATGCTATAAGACCTATCACAGCTACTCTTGAAATAATATAAGCAAACTGTTCTGCTGTGTACCTTTTAAATAAAGGGAAAATAAAGTAATATGAGCCTTGTTCGTTCCTTCCTTCATTGAAATTTTACCAGTTCAGCTTGCAATTCACATCTAATCTAATTTGTGATAGGACAGATTTGTCAGTTACTGTAGCATTGAGATGTGGACAAGATGCTTGTATGGGACCAACAATATATGTTCTTGATCTTCACTTTCTTTATTAATCTAGTACAAACCTGGATCCAAAGGTGAACTGCTTCTTTAATTGTCTAATTGGGGCTTTTGGGGAAAAAAAACAAACTACATGTTTTTTGGGATGCTTGTTGGCCAATTCCAAATTTCTCCTCCCTGGAAAAAACCTTAAGTGGGAAATTACCACTAGATTATTTCATTTAAATTTCAGGGTTGATTTGTTTATTCTGATAGATTATTGATATTAGAATAAGTAAAAAAGGGGTGCAGTTAATTCTCTTGGATTTTTCAGCAATCTGTGGTATTGTATGCCATAGATAGGTTGTCTGAGTTGGGAATGGAGTTACTATACTGATTTCACATCTTGATTTCAAGAAGTTGTTTCTGTGGGGAGTGCTGTAGCTTGCTGTCATGGAATTTAAATTATGTAATCTTGTCCTCTTGTTGTTTTGGTCCTCTGTGCTTTTAACATACACAGAATCATTGAGTAAAATCATTCAGGGATTGGGAGTTGGGTGTTACCATTATATGTACAGTACTGAAGAGACAGACATGTACTTGAGACAGGCAAATATTCTGTCTCATCTTTACACTGGGGTCAGGTGAGGCACTCTAAGTACTAAACTGTTATTTAGAATCAGTAGTGACTTGTACAAAGACCAGGAGATTGAAGTTCCTATCAGGAGCACAAATAGAAGATGGTTGCCTGGTGAAGCAGAAATCAACCTGTTCTGGGTGGGGTTGAAGGTTGATGATACATTGGTCCAGTTAGTATTACTGTAATATTTTTATTTAACATACACTTATATCTAAGTCCAGTGAAAGATCAATCCCCCCTCCCCCAAAAAACAAATTCTATTGTTCTGTGGTGTATAATATTTTCCCTATTTGAGCCAGGTGGGCCAGCTTCTGGTTTTTAAAATAGCATGGCTTTAGTTATACACTCCTGCACTGCCTTTTGAAGCTTTTCTGGAAATCTAGTTAGTACTTTCATTGTCTTTTGACTATTTTCAAACCGAATTTAAAGCCTTGTTTGGAACCAGATATTTTGAGACCTAGTTTTTCTACTTTAACTTTACTTTTTCCTTAGTAACCACAGATATTAATATAGGCTTCTTCAATACTCTTATGGCCCTAGCATCCAGCTTGTAGAGTCTTATTCCTAGGCATCTTGCATGGTGTCTTTGCTGCTGTTTTTTAGACATCAAAGCAATAATGTTAACAACTTTATCATTTGTTTGATAAATTTTAATCCTTTGTGATTCATTCTGAAAATATTTAATTGAAAGCTGCTATATAATGTAATTGAGGAGAGAGAATCTAACATTCTAAGATGTATTCAGAAATACTTTAACTGCTTGCCTTCTTGTTGATAGCCTTTACAAAGTAATCTAGAATAATGAAAATGTAATTAGGTAAAGAGAAACAGTCCATCATAAGTTAATTCATTCCACTCAGATCCAGAATTTCATTGCATTGGGTCAGGGATGGGTAATCTTTTTGCCATCAAGGGAGGCATTCCCAAAACAGTAATCTGAAAGGAGCCATATGTCATTGTTAAATGAGACTTATATAAGTAGTGAATCGGAGCAGATCCATCTCTCTTTTGGAGATGCTTTTCCCCCCCTGATTTTTCTGTCCTTAGCTATAGAACAAGAACTACTATTTCTTAATCTCTAAATTGATGGGTTGAAGGGTTCTTTTTGACAGCGTTGAACATCATATGAACTTAGTTGCCCAACCTTGGGTCAAATTAGATAGTATAGGCTAATTACTTTTGAATTCTGAATTTCAAAATTATTTTCATTGTAAACATGCAGCACAATTTGAATAACATAAAACATCAAAGTGCCAAAATATATTCTTTTAGAATTTTTATATTTGTCTTTATAGTTACATTATAACTAACATTTCATGCTTCTTTGGATGTATAGTAAAGTGTATATTACCTTCTTCCACTGAATTTTTCATTATAGGTAGTCCTTGTTTAATGACTGCCCTGTTTAGCAACCGTTTGAAGTTACAACAGCGCTGAAAAAGTAACTTTATGACCGGTCCCTGCACTTATGACTGTAGTGGTGTCCTTGTAGTCACGTGATTGCCATTTGTGTGCTCCACAGCTGGCTTCTGACAAGCAGAGTCAATGGAGAAGCTGGCAGTAAAATTGCAAGTTAAAGTGATGTCTCGCTTTATGACCATATTGCTTAGTGATGGAGTTGCCAGTCCCAACTGTGTTCATTAAACAAGGACTATCTGTACTGTGTTTTATTCTAAATTCATGTTGCTTGAATACTGCAAAGATACCTGTATGCTGCCTGGTTAAAATTGTGCTTCTTCCATAAATAAGGAGTTTGAAGAAAAAAAGCTTTTTTTTAAGGATGCTTAAGTTTTGGATATTCTTAGTATGTATGATGTTACCCTCAAAGTGGTACAGCCCAGATATGTTGGCTGTGCTTACAGGAAATGATAGTTTTAGTCCTAAAATTTTCTAACAAAGCAACTTATACATTAAAATTTACAAAACCTACTGTATAGTAAATCATATATATATAAATATATATATTATGAGGGGTTAACTTACTACAATGCAGGATATTTGGCAGCAGACAATTTACTTGCAGATAATGAATGGGCTACTTTTTAACTGTAGTTGGTAATTGAAAAATTAAAATAACTAATATGAGTTGATGGTGGTCAGGATGGTATTGATTTCTGAAAATTTGTGTAACTGTTCTAATACCAGTGCAAACAGAAAGCAACATCTGATGACTTACGATGATTTATTAAAACAGATAACATCACGTTCCTGAGGTTTCTTTACACTGATAGTGTGTTTACCCAATTATCTATAATGGCTATAGATAAGTACATTAAATTATGTGCTTTTATATTGTTCATTATGTATTGTGAGATTTAACCCTATATTAGTCACCCAGAGTCGCTTTGTGAGATAACCAGCCTTATAAATCAACTAAATTAATAGATAATAACAATTTAAAATTAAGTAAATATGCAACTAGTTGATTGATTTGAATGTTTTGTGCGGTAACAAATGTGTTCTTTTTCTTTGTAGAAAGTGGAACTGTTCCAAAAAAGAAGGATCCGTTGTCTCACAGTAGTAATTCACTTCCTCGCTCAAAATCTGTGGCAAAGGCTGCATCTGGAGGACTTTCTGGGCATCAAAGAACACCTAGTTATACTGGAATTCCTAATTTTTCTGTACCTAGAGTAGGAAATGTTCCTTCAGCTGCAACTCAGAAGGTAAGACAATAGCTTCTGTGCACTGTATATTGCATATTTGTCAGTTTAGGAAATGGAAATGTAATTTAAAAGTAATTGCATTTTATAAATAGCATGTTTTGTATGCAGCAGAACTTAAGTTCAGTTCTTGATATTACTAGGTAAGGTTGGAAAAGACTGTGGTCTAGAATAGACCATACAAACTAACAGAGCAAAGGTATGATTTAGCATAAGGGAATTGTATAAGTTTGTAATCCCAAAGCTCATTTTAGAGAGAAAAAAAAGACTACTTTTAATAATGTTGTTTTGCTTTTAATTTTGATTGAGGTTGTGGTTGTATCCAGTGACATTCTTGTTAGCCCCATAGAGGCTTCCTGTCTTCAGCCTTAGATTTTTCATCTTCTTGGACTCTCCTTCCCCCTTTTAGTAATGCTTTTAACTGATGTTTTATGTATTTATATATATTTATGTTTTTAATGTTTGTTGTTCCCCCTTTTAGTAATGCTTTTAACTGATGTTTTATGTATTTATATATATTTATGTTTTTAATGTTTGTTGTTCCCCCTTTTAGTAATGCTTTTAACTGATGTTTTATGTATTTATATATATTTATGTTTTTAATGTTTGTTGTGAGTCGCCCAGAGTTCCCCCATTGGGGGGAGATGGGCAGGTAAGAAATTTAATTTAATAATAATAATAATAATAATAATAATAATAATAATATCAGTAGAAGATATCTGCTATAAGAATGCAAAAAAGGTTTTCAATGATTTGACAGTTGCAGAAAGTACAAGGGGAAGGGCAGATCAGTATATAGCATTCTTCCCCATTTTACTGATGGGAGGCTTCTATCATTAGAAATAATTGGAATTATTATTAAAACTGCTCCAAGGATATGGAGATGCGGTAAGAAGTGATTTCACTGATGTTATGGGTACTTGCCAGAAGATACCTGGAGAATCTTATTGGCATGAAAAGGGAAGTAGAAAAGAGGAAACAAAATGATCAAACATTTTTTTCTATTGGAAAGGCTAAAATATTTGTGGTCCTTAAATTAACAAAAAAGTCAGTGTTGTGTGCATGGAGATAGAAATTTTTATTGTCAGAATAGTAGAACTCTTAAGGATTAATGTAGAAGTCAACTATTCCGATTTATTTTGCTGCCAGTTTTAAAACCATAGATTTAAAAAGTGGATGTGGTGGTACTGAGTTTATTTTCTTCTAGATTTATTATTCTAGGAATAGATAAACATAGTTTAGAATATCACTACCATCATCTCAAAGTGGTAATATAGTGTTCCTACATACATTTTACCTTTACTTTTTATCAGCATGGTATGTTAGGCGTTGGGAGGGAAGGTATTCTGTCTCCTATTTACTGAGACAATCAGTTGTTTAAAAGCAACTAAAACTTTCTTTGATAAATAATATGGGATATAAGTTATTTCTGTTTAGAGCTATAGAACTCAGCTTATCTACAGAATAATTATGTACAGTACTTTACCACAAGGACTTCTTTCCTTTCTATATTGTATTATATAGTTGTCTATTTTTCCTTTCCTGAATTTATATATATATTGTCTGTTACATTATCATAGAGAAAATATATGTGGTTGCTAAGAGCTGACAACAACTTGATGGCACATATTGTAATCAATGTTGCATTAATCTTTTGCAACATTTAATTAGCTGATTTTTTCTGTATTTTAAAAAATAACTTGTGTCATATCAAAGTTTTGTTTTGTGATTAGCTGGATGTGGAATGGAATTTGCTTCGTTTTAGATTACTGAAGCTGATAGCTAATTTTCTTTGAAATAATTGTTTCTTTAGGCTACCCCAAAAAATAATAGAGCCACCAAGCCTTCTACTCCTTCAACTGCTGTACGAAAAAAGAAAGACATGAAGATTTTTAAAAATGTGGATAGTAACCTTGCTAATCTTATTCTCAATGAAATTGTAGACAGGTAAGTGCCAGCAGTGGCCGGTTTTAATAGAAACTGGTAATTGATTGGGGGGAGGAATGCTTTTTAGTAAATATCAAGTGTAATTATTTTTAGAGCAAGTAATGCTCATCATGCTGTTTTTTCTGTATCAGTTTAAAATAGGATTTGGATTGGAAGAACTAAAAAAATATTTTTAGGAAATAGAATATTTTAATATACATGAGGATAATTTCTTAACTGTAAGGGCTTTTTAAAAAAATCGAGACAAAGAGTGTGAAATACTCAGCTGCACTCCAGAAGAATGAGATGCCTATTGTTGCACTAATTACTATTCTGTATTTGTTAGTGGGCCATCTGTCAAATTTGATGATATTGCTGGGCAAGAGTTGGCTAAACAGGCACTGCAAGAAATTGTTATCCTTCCATCACTGAGACCTGAAGTAAGCAATCTATTTCCTGACTTGTTTTATTGCATCTTAGAAGTTTCCATTATGTGGTAGATTTTACTCTGATTTTTTAAAATTTACCATTTTGTATGTATTCAAGTAACATACATGGATGGGGGTAAGTTAGAAACATTGCCAAAGATACTTTATTGTATTTGCAACTATTATAATGTGTAATTATAACTCATGATTGTCCAGTTGAAGTGTTGGTAATTGTGATTAGATGCTGGAATGAAATTGGCACTGTTTAGTTCTTTTAAATAAATATTTTGAAGATATTTATTTAAAATAATTGTAAAAAAGTCTTTTATTGGTCTAGTACATTGATTGTATTGCATATAGCACAGAAGTATTAATAAGTAGGAACTAATCACATGCTCAGTCATGAGCTGAAATGAATGTTATATACTTCCCCTGTATACATTCATGCTGCTAGGTCTTTAGTAGTACAGTTTAAAAAAACCCATAATTATTATATTTTCAGTTGAAACAATTACATACCAAGTCCCTCCTATGAGCATCATCTATTCTTAAATGAAATTCTGCTGAAAAAACTTCCATGCCCAGGAAGGGAGGTAGAAACAGTTTTAATTATCTCTTCATATGCAGCATCAACCACTGACTCTTCCCTGTTCCCCAGATGGTTTCCCTATTTTCTGAACCAGATTTTTCGTGTCCTAGGAAGCTGTGCTAGAGTGGAAGAACTGGCAAAAATGGCATTCTGTTCTGCCAGTGGAAATGCTGAGTTGGATCAGAAGCCTGATGAAAGTGAAAACTATCTTTCTGGTGCTGGCAGGCAAATCGTGTCTCCAAACCAGTATTAAAGATACAATACATTATGTGTCCATTGCAGGCAAAGGAATGAATATATGCTTTCCAAATAGAATAAGGATATGCAGTTTGAGGAAATAATGGGCACATTTTTGAACACATCTCTCAGAAAATGGTTTTGATTTGTCTCCTAAAAATTTGCAGGTGAAGATTTGAGTCCATAGATATAAATATCTGTCCAAGTCATCTGGGGGTCTAAATCTTTCAGTAGGCTTTGTCACCAGAGTTCAGACTTTAACTTTGGAGCATCAATTGACATTTGGAATAATAACATTACCGTTGATAAGCAGTTAGGTGCCATCAATCCAGGCTCAATCCTATGGCAATTGCATGTATAAATGCTTGCTGTTCAACCTATCTTTAATAATAGAAAGTAGGAAAATGTAACCTAACTTATCAGAAAGTATATTCTTTAATATATAAACATCAAATGGTAACTAATGTTGGTTTGATTTTGAAATTCATGTGTGTTAAATTTACCTGTGAGGCGTAATTCTTGTGTTTCATTGTTCTGTTAAAACACATGCTTGTATTCTTTCACTGTGGATTTTTGAGATGCTGTGAATTTCGCTGAAGGGTGGTTATTGCAGTCCTCTTATTAATGTTTGCTATACACCCTGTCCTTTTGAGTCTAAAGGCCCCTATTGTGTTTCATATGTACACTATTGTATATCACGTTTTCACATCTATTGCAGCCCATTCCCTCTTCAAGCTATGTTTAAAGATATTGTAGTAGGAAAGGAAGAATGACAATTTGTTTGTTGTTGATGCTATAATGCAAAACATATCTTTGTATGATCATTCCAATTTATGTACTCTGAATGTTACATATTCATTCTCTTAAGATAAAGACTAAAGGCAATTAACAAAATAAATGCACAATAGAAATTGGACAGAACAGACCATTGGAGGCAGTCTTGCAGTTTCTTCTTTCTTCAGCCAGATGGCCTGCACCTGATGCTATCTAAAATCCACTTTTCGTGAAGTAAATGTAGAACTGATGCAATCCTGGATAAGTGGCTATGCTAGCATTAGTGGCTTGAAAAATGAATAATGACCTATAAAAATAATAAAAAAGTAAATTGATTCCATTCTGGACAATGTAGAGTTTCTATAGCATGTACAGCTTGGTGAATCCCAGATAATATTTCTTAATTTAATAATTTAAGCATTAGTTTCACAATTTTCTTTTGTATTATTTGATTTTTTGCAGCCTGTCTTGGCCTTCTTTTCCTTGACTCTTATCTTCATCTGGTATCAAGTAGAAAAAACAGAGCTAAATGGCAAAGTATCCGGTGATCTGGATGACCTATGTTTTTCATATCTTTTGCAAAACACATTAATAATGCCTTATCTTAGCTGTAAAACTACCAATTTCTGTAGTTTAGATTATGCCATGAAGCAAAATTTAACTCAGTCAATCTTCTAGTTGTTTACAGGACTTAGGGCTCCTGCACGTGGATTGCTGTTGTTTGGCCCACCAGGAAATGGAAAGACCATGCTGGTAAGAGGGCTGCTTTCCTCTGTCACCTGGGCGGGGAGTCTTTTCTTTTGTCCCCCCAGAGCCCCCTCAGATCTGATTATAATTTGCTGAAAATTGGTAGTGTGTTTTTCTGTCATTTTAAGGCAGACAACAAATGTTCTACAAGAGGCTTAACATAATTTTCTTTTCTTTTTTAAAACCCTCAAAATTTCTCCCCTAAATCCAGAAAAATAAAAACAAAATCTCAGTTATGTCTGTTTGTATCCTCAACCCATTCGTTGCAGCCCTTGTGCTCCTCCCAAACTTAGGTGGTGCCCTCAGCCACAAAATGTGCTTTGGCATATTACTTATGGAAACAGTGTTTGAATATTTCATTTTACTGTATATGTTTACAAAAGGAATATTCTTTCCTACCATTTTTTAAATAGTATATTTTCATGTTGGGCCATGGGTGCTCCAGTTAGAAGTATGCTGAAAATTTCACAGTATCTTACCAGAAAAAGTAAACTCTGAACTATATTAGCAGACATTTCTGCCTTTAAAAGTATTATATACATTGCTAAATTGTTGATAGATTGAAATTTCCGTTACGTATGTAGGTATTTATTTACTGGGTACATATGTCTCTCCAGTCCAGCAGAACTCTGGCTAATAAGCATAATTATATTATGCTTACACATTGCTGAAAGCGTATTATATGCTTTGTATTACCTTGCAGCCTTAAATCAGTATTTTCTTTCACTATAGGCCAAAGCAGTGGCTGCAGAATCAAATTCAACCTTCTTTAGCATAAGTGCTGCAAGTCTGACATCAAAATATGTGAGTAACAATGTTATATTCTGGCTATGGTTAAAGAGACACCGTAGGAACTTTTGAAAAATAAATGGAGACATATTTTCACCAAATTCCAGTACATTGGAAATAATGTTTATTTGTTTCTACAACTGTTTCTGATTTTGCATCTACATCTATGTCTAATTTTGTTTTATTTCACTGGAATACTAAAAACTTCAAAGTCAAAGTCAAAGTAATCTTTATTGTCATTGTACTACTCGTACAACTCAAATTCAATTCAAAGCTGTAATATAAAGGTCTTGGAAGAAAATCTTGCAGTCTCTTCCCTTCCCCCTCTTCAGTCATCTGTGCCCCTCTGAAAAATGCTTTTATGGACTGTTGAAGTCCTCTTGGACATGGGGCTACAGAAAGAAATATTTAGGTGATTCTTTTTCTGCTATATCCGCAGAACTGCAAATGTATCCAGATATCAGGAAATGGATTTTTCAGGAAAGGGGATTAGATAAAAGAATTAGAAGGTGCTTGAAGGACATATCTGCATTGATTGACAGCAATAGATTATTGATATGTATTGTGTTAACATTTGAATTTATTTTTTTTTTTTCAAGAGAGGAGCAAGAAGGATTCTCCTGCAATATAGTCAGAGTTTTTGGAGTTTCATGAAATAATTTCCAGGCTTTTCTCTTTTTTTATTGCTATGCTTATCAATTCTGAGGTTGTGTTGATTCTTTAATGTTGTTGTATGATTTTGTACTTTTCTTTTGTTGATTAGTTTAGAATAATAAATATGCGTTAATTTTTTAAAAACCCATTTTTTTTAAAAAAAACCTTTCCATTCCACATTCTTTGGGGCAGCCTGCTGATCTTCTGGAAAGCTTTTTATTTGCATGCCTGGCTGTAAAGGGAAGTAGAGATGGAAACTTTTCTTTAATGAACTTCTTTAAATTAGTTTAATTAGGATCCCAATATTAAATTTAATGTTTAATGCAAAAAAGCAGTAAGTATAAATATAGCAGCACAAATTTAGTTGTCAGAGTCATAGAATGGATCAAGTTGGCTGTGTTTTAGTATCCACTTATAATATGCCAGTTGGAAAGCAAGTGACTCTATCAATCTGAGATATATCCCCTCTTTTTTTCCCCTCAGGTTGGTGAAGGGGAGAAACTAGTGCGTGCACTTTTTGCAGTAGCCAGAGAACTTCAACCATCTATCATATTTATTGGTAAAATTTCATGTATCTGACTAGTCAAAATGAAAGTTGAGTAACTTAAATTTAAAGCAATCCATTTTATTGGTTTGAGTTGTATTTTAGAAATATATTCTTAACCCATAGTTTTAAATTTATTTGATACTGTATATTACAAGTTCTGATAATCTGTACTGAAGAACAGGATTTATTTTTTTTTAAAGTGAAATTTTCCCAAATCAATGAGCTTGACAGGTCCTTATTATTTTCTTAACAAATGTATGGAAATGGAATCTGATTACCTTCTTTTTTTTTTTAACTTCTCAGTCTAGCCTACTATCCTAAGATTTCCTAGTGGGTCTCCTACCCAAGTACTAACCAGATCTGACCTTGCTTAGATTTTTAAGATAAGCCTTGTTTGGCTAAGTGCTGTACAGAAAATATATTAATAACCTGGAGCATGAATTTTAATTGTTGTCATTCCTAAAGATTTTAATAACTTACTTAAGAGCTCTTGAGCAATAGATGCTGTTTAGAATATAGAGTATTGCATTATATAAACTATTTTAAATTGTATTAAAATAAATACATTTAATATTGCATATTTATATTTTAGATGAAGTGGATAGTTTATTATGTGAAAGAAGAGAAGGTGAACATGATGCTAGCCGACGTTTAAAAACAGAATTCTTAATAGAGTTTGATGGTGTAAGTAATTACACAGTGTTACAGTGCTGGGCGTTAGTGGCAGCTATATAGTATTTTTAACTCTAAAGATTGAAGTTTTTTATTATTGAATTTTCTAATAATAAAGGATAGCAAAAAGAAGAGAAAGAACAGTCAAAATTTTTCTAGAAAAAGATGAACTTTTGCTGTTCTTTCCCCTTTTTTGCTAAAGTTCAAGTATTTTCCAACGTGCTTGCTGTTAAACATCAAGGCCACCAAAGCAAGTGAAGTTGTTTACATTTTTGCAATGTACAATGAAATACAATATTTATACATAAGGGCAAAGTGGTATTGTGCAAATTATATGTTCCCATTTGCAAGAGTATATTACAGTGCTACAGAGCACCGTATGTTAAAACATCTAGACACT